CAGCACGACACAAATTACAGCTCCTCCGGGTAATACTGCCAATGGTACTGACATCACGACTACTACGTCGAATATCATTACTTTCCCTGGTGGAAATGCTACAGCTACGGACACCTTCTCCGATATTTCGACTATCACCAGTAGTAGTGCAACCGATATACCTACGGGTACTCCAGTTATCCCTTCTCAGTTTACTTTCCTTACCCAGTCCAGCCTCTTGGTCGCTTCGTCTTTGACGCCAACTGAGACACCATCTGTGACGCTCACTAACCCTGATGAGCCAACCTCCTCCGTCAGTGTCGATTCCACGGCTGCACCTGCTGCTGACAACACTGCACCTCCTCCTCCCGCTGCATTGCCAACAACTTTACCTTCCCAAATTGTTCCGGCCAACGGGGTCGATCCCGGTGTTGACAATTTGGACGGTTACACTCCTATCGCTATCCTGTACTCTTCGGATTTAAGATGGGAGTTTGTCGCTAAAAACCCAGACAGTGCGAGTCAGATCTTTGCGTGGACTTCGGCTAGTATTCAATATGCTTTGAGCTTGACAAGTAAGTTTCCTTTTGCTATCTTGGTGTATTCTGAATATTTATCAAATCTTGTATCGTAGCTGACCAAGTACAATTGTTCGCTCTGGAGGCATGGAGACCCTCAGACTACACCGGTCCCTCTGATATCGACAAGTTATTGACTCTTTTCGTGGCGTACATACCATCCGATCAAGTCAACAATCTTGCACAACAAATCAAGGTGAAGTCTTCGGCATTCTACCAGGTTCCTCAACCTGCTGGTCAAATTTCGACCTACGTCAACCCCGGATTCCCTGTGACTGCTGTTTCGACCAATAACGATGCTGGCGATGGCACTACTATCACTAACAACACTTCAGGCAGTGCTACCTCCGCCTCTGGTTCATCATCGAAAACCAGGGAGAACGTTATCATCGGTGTCGTCACATCTCTGGGAGCTGTCACTCTTTTGGTGTTGGCGTTCCTTGTCGTTCGTGCTGTGAAACAGAGAAGGGAATTGGCTCATAGGAGATTGTCTGATCCTCCTCAAGGATTCGTTGGTGCAAGACCTGAGAACCAGGACTTTGATAGGGACAGTGTTGGTGGAGCAAGAAGACGTAGTTTCTATTATGCTGAGGACTCATTGAGAGGATTCTCGGACATTCAACCACAACCTCAGCAACCCGGAGGTGCGGGAATGGTCGATGAGTATGACCATCGGGTGACAGAGGGGATGAGGGAAAGAAGGCCTGTGAATGCAGGCATGATCTCTACACCGATCCTGAGAGATAACACGATGAACTGGTGATAGATTCATTCGTCATCATTCTGTTGTCGATATTCCTAGTTTCTGTCTTTTGTAGGATTTTGTTTGGGCCTTGGGACTTTCACTTTTCTGCTTTGCGTCTTTTCTCGAGGCCGAGTTGGTGGAGGTATTGGATACCTGCAGATTCTGGTACTTGGTTGATGTCTTTCGCCTTGTTCTCTTTCCGAAACCTTCCGTTGTTCGACACCAGTCTTCGTCATCCCTGCCCACACAATTCTTGCTGTTCGCTGTTGCTAGGATGGGGTTCAAGAGGCTTTTCTTCATTTCCTCTTCTCCCATTTCTTTGCCACCGCTTTTAACTTTGTTTTAATTCTCTTTTTTTCACTTCTTTTCGGCGGTTGTTTTTCTTGATATGGGTTTTTTCAGTGTATTTATGAGGGGGGTTTTGGTGTGGATGGGTGATGCTGGCATATGCTGGACCAATTTCATGACATTTTCAACGCCGCCTTCACGAATCATGTTTCTTCATGTATGTCTCTGTGTGGAAAGCAGCTGCTGTAGATGTCTGTCTTCTGCATGTTTCGACACCGCCTTTTATCGATATCCTACTAGCAATGTCTGGCAGCAAACTCCAGTCATTTCGTCACTCATTTCACCAAATCCTTCCTCTCTACTTTCTTCTTCTCTTCAAATTTTTATTCTTACACGTATACATTTACATATATTATTCGTACTTTCTCCATTGCTGTGCATAGTAGTATTAGATACAATTTTCTTTTGTTGGGCTTGAAACCTATATACCATTACTTTTTCACTCTTCTCAAATTCGCCCGTTACTCTCATTTCTCACTATGCTTTATTCTCTTTGCCTGCGAGTCTATGCCAATTTTCCTGAATTATCACTTCCGTTCTCACTATTATCGTTTCTCCTTTTTGATTACAACATAAAGTATTGTATAGCGCTGCAGAATATTTGTTGCCTTGAATGATGTAAAAGGCTTGCTTGATGAAAGTTTCGATATTAATTGTCTGTTCAAAGTGAGCACTGGCAAGCTCGAGGTTGAGTTGGATTTTGTCTCTTACTTACACTCACTTGTCAAATTCAACTTCAAATTCAGGACATCACATGACCGTGTTGAGCTGTATGCGCCCTTCAAACGCTGCTATCACTTTGCTCGACATGATCCTCATTGCTTCAAATCTTCCACAGCCATTTGCGATGTGATTATGTTCCATACTACGATAATGCTTCCTCCTTCCATTTGCCAGTGATTCCATTCAAATATTGTTTGCCAATGGAACACAGAGGCAGACTTCTGGGTTTCCAAATGTTAGCAACCGCATGCATCAAGGGAAATCAAGGGTCTTAGAAGGATAGCTGTTCTCAGGCATGGTCTTATTTAAGGCGATTGGAAAGTTGGGCTTGAGTTAGTCGTGTGTGCAATTCTTCAAGTCCTTTTTCTGAACAGTCGTCATTCGTTCAGCATATATCGATGTATCTGACATCTCCTTACCCTCCTGTCGATCCAATTCCTGACGAGAACATCCACAAATTGTTATTTCATTTCGAACAGGAGGACATAGAAATTGAAGACAAGGTTATCCATATCGATGGATTGACAGGGTTTCAGAGGTCGAGGAAGGAATTTTACGAAAGGGTCAGAGATGCTGCGACAGCTCTCGGTGCACCTATCAGTGAAGGAGGTTTAGGTCTAAGTGGTGATAAAGAAGACATAGTTGCTATCTTGAGCTTGAACTGCCTCGTAGGTCTTGCCTTGGACTGGGGTTTGGATATTTTCACAACTGACCGATATTTTACAGGATTATTTGGTATTGGCGAATGCATGTTTCGTCATTACAACACCAGTTGCACCTCTTTCAGGATTTTCGACCCTTGCGGAGTTACGCCACAGTCTGAAAGTTGTATCACCAACTACGATTTTTGTACAACCGTCATCGTATGCCGACCTTCTCATCGTCGCCAGAGAGCTTGGAATACCTGAGAACCGCATTTTCGTCCTGGAGGGTGAAGTCCCTGGTTGCAAAAACTTGGAGGACCTCGTGAATGATGTTAAGAGGAGGAAGATCGCGCGAGTTCCCGTTCGGCATGCTACTAAGGATACTCTGGCGACACTTTTGTTTTCAAGTGGAACAAGTGGCCTACCGAAAGGTACGTAGGCTTCATGCCCTGCCAATAAGCATATAATTTTGGACATTTATGTGTATTTTCAATAGCCGTGATGTTGTCACATGGGAACTTTTGGTCTGCAATGACGGCTCAAATTGTAGTATCCATGGAAGATATGCAAACATTAGAGGTATTTACATATCTTAATTCGCCCTCTCTCCTGGCCCTGAAACATATATCAAAAGGCTCCGCCTCCACCAGCAGTTACATTGGCCTCAATGCCACTTTTCCACACTGCTGCCTTCAATACTTTCATCATCATGGGGATATTTGCAAACTTCACAAGTGTGATTATCCCCAAATGGGATCCTCTGGTTGCTGTTAGGATGGTTGAAAAGTAAGTCCAAGTGTCTCTTTCTAGCAATCCACAATCATTGACATATCACAGGTATAAGGTGACACTCCTCCATACGGTAGCGTCTACACTGCACCAGCTCGTTACGTTGAAGGGCATTGAGAAGGCAAATTTGACCTCGATTGATACTGTGACATCTGGTGCAGCCCATGTGCCGCATGATTTACTCGTAAGGCTCAAGAAGATCATTCCTCAAGTATCTCAAGCGCGAGAAAGTGAGTATATTTCCTGACCTGGTGGGCATAACATCGTACTCATTCTTTTGACAGTCTATGGTCTTACGGAAGCCGTAAGCTTAGAACAATATTTGGCTATGAGTGAATTTAACTGAAATGTCTCAGACTGTTGCAGTGATCGGTATCCCTGCGCCTGGTGCTCTCGATGGGCGACAAACAGTTCCAGGTTCATGTGGTATCCTGCGTGCAGGCTGGGAAGCTAAACTCCTTCGAGAAGACGGCTCTCATGCAGACGTAGATGAACCCGGGATGCTTTGGATCAGGAGTCCAATGGTAGCATTGGGTTATTACAAGAATGAAAAGGAAACAAAAGAAAGCTTCGTCGATGGATGGCTTTGCACTGGTGACATATTTTCAGCGGATAAGGATGGAAATTTCTTGTGTGTATCATTCTCTTTTTTGTTTTATGGAATGGAGACGAAACGAAACCTGTTGTTAACTTTATGGTTACGCAGTTTCATCGATCGAGCTAAGGATACGTTGAAAGTGTCCGGAGCTCAAGTATCGCCTTCTGAAATTGAAGAGACATTGTTCAACCATCCAGACAGGCTTATCTCGGATGCATGTGTCGTTGGTGTACCTGGAGGTCGTACCTCGGACGAGAAAATACCAAGGGCATTCGTAGTCTTGAGTGAGAAGGGCCGTCTCAGGGGAGAAATCAAGACTTTGGCAGAGTTGAACGGATGGGTTCAGAAAAATCTGAGTAAGTACAAGTGGTTGAGAGGCGGGATGGAGATTGTGGATGAGGTAATGCGTTTACAACCAGCTTATGGTTATTTCTGATATTTATCTCTTTGTAGATACCCAAGACTGCCAGTGGGAAGTCGATGCGGCGAATCCTTGCAGCACAGTATGAAGCCAGAATACCAGTCGCGACGAAAATGTGAACTTTTTAAATCATGCTATGAATCAATCTAGGATTTTCAAGCAGCGTAACTTCTATGACTTCTTAGCTCAGTGGTAGAGCGTGTGATTCCAGCATAATATTGGTGGAATTTCCACAAGGTCATCTGTTCAATCCAGGTAGAGGTCAGCCATTTTTGTTATCCAGAGACTTGAACTCTTCATTCTTTCGGAGATGGGTACGGAGGAAGGGGCGCCTACAATTTCCCCACGTATGTCGATCCTTTTTTTCATCCGTTTGACCATGGCATGATAATCTATGTAATCTTCGCTGACATGTCTATGGGCTATAGTTTTCTCTTGCTCTGGAACTTCAGCCTTGATGTGTCAGTCACTATCTATTGGAACCTGGCCACTCATCACCGCACTTTCCATCTACAGGCGCCTATCCTTATTGTCTACGCATTCAACTTGAACAATTGGGTGGGATACCACCGACCTCATGTATTCACAAGGTATCAGTTGAAGCACCGAAATCCTACCGGGTCTATTGTTGAACAGGTTGTGGTAGTCAAATGGCACTGTATATGGGATTTCATTCTGACCGTCGCTTTCGAATATTGCTCTGTCTGGAAAGCTAGTACATTCTTTTCACAATTGCGGCGTGAAGGATAAGGCTTCGATCGAAAACTCTACAGTAATGATCGTCAGCATTATCTTGTCTCTGTGAGATCGGGCAGGTTCCTGTCACGCCGAAGGATGTCAAGACAATTATCAAGTCTCGGATGTCGCAGGATAAAGGTACGCTTTCCGCGTGCCGTTTCCTCAGTCATCTAACAATTGCAACGCAGGTCAATTTTCTATTGTTGGTACAGGCTGAGACTGAAACAAAAGGAGATGATATGCAAGGAGCGTATAAATGCTCTCTTTCTTCTCGTTAACTCCATCGGATACTCACCGGTTCGCGAGACCCCCTACCTCTATAAGCATCTTCGTTGAAGAGCTTCTTCAGATCCAATATACGAATACTTTTCGTTCCTCACAAATGGATTCCTTCGAACTCACTCTCGCTACCATCATCCCCGCTGAGGAGATCGACACTCCGGTCGATTCTGAGAGCAGTAGTGGCTCTGGATCTTCATCCTTGAGGAACTGTGTTATCGCCTAAACACCTTGATTCAAACTGGAGTGTTCAATGTATGTTCCATGCTTCGAATTTATTCTATTGTGACTCTAACGTCTCATTTCTAGTTCTGTGCTCTTGAATGCACATCCTCCAAACCCGCTGCTACCTTCATCAAACACCGTCTACTACTACTACGATCCTCCCTCCCATGCCAATCATTCACGGCAAAGTCCCTAATGACTTGCGATGTCGAAACGCAAATCCCACTTCGTTTTTCAACCATTTCGACCAAGCTCTTTTTGTGTTTTTGCAGTACGGAATTTGCAAGACTCGCAGTTCCTACTAAGTTATTCCTTTTTGTTCTACGAAGACATTTCTTCCTCTCTGTCACTCTTAAGCGTGGAGCAGCGCATTAAGAAGTTTCGGCATTTGTTTTTTTGTTCTTTTCTTTCAGAATTAGTGGATATGAACTATATTTAGACTGTCTCTCATTTTTTTGTTATTTCCCTTTGGGCAACAGGGTTGTTCTGGTGTACGCTACTTGTTCGATATCGGAGATTAGGGAAGTCAAACCCTCATTAGATTAAATGTACTCTTGGTGTTTCATGATACGGTCAATACTAGTCTTGTAAAACTGTAAAACAATATCCATTCCAGACAGTTGTGTTCATTCTATCTCATAGATTGATTCGTCAATTTACTGTGTATCGAAACCGTTGTGATACGTACAAGTTCTTTTTTTTTCTTCCGACGACTGCATGCATCGCAGACTCGGATTTTATCATGTTAGTAAAGACTAGTACGAGTACAATTGAACCTATTGCTTTTGAGAACAGCTGCAGGTCGCAGCAATGAGTTTCAAAAATTTGATAACTGAAGGTGTCAGTCAATTGAACATGGAGTCGTAACGTGCAACTTACTATGTCGTTTCGACAAGCCGCTGTACTCATGAAGTTTCCCAACAATAAAACCTGATATTCTTCAATGGCAGAAAATATCTTCCTCTGAAATTTTAAAATCCTCAACTCCATCCTTCTCATCCTTTTTTTTTGCCTACTAGTAATTTCTCGCCGATAGTTGCGAGGGAAGTTGAACGTTGAGTAGCCACGTGTTGATCATGGACGGTGATTGCCGAGGTGCCGCAAGTAAGTTGAGCATTGATGTTGAATTTGAATTTCAAGTCCATTCTTTCTCCATGAGTCCATTCCGAGGATTCCGAGACAGCCTTTCTGCCAGTGACCATTCTGTTCAAGACTGCGGGATTACCTTCGTAGGATTACAGAGCAGGCTTTGCCAGGGTTTGTTGACCGGACTCCGTCATCCCCGATTTTTTCCAGATATGGGGTACTGTGGCAGTGATTTCACATAGACGAATTTCATCGAAGCCGCCTCAAGGTCAAAGAAGAACAACATTACCTCCCTTTGACGGTGCGTTTAGTACGTTCTTGTGACGCAGATCCCCATTTTTCACACTCCTAATTTCAATCTTAGGAGCATGCTGACAGAGCCTTTTGCTTTTTACCACCGGATTCACCCATCGCCCTACAACAGGTCTGCCTTTTGATCTCGGTGACTTCATATTTTTAGGGCTGGAAGCCTCACCGAGGATGCCTTTTGGACTGTCGGCTTGCTGTCTGCCACGCGGGAAAGAAGCGAAGAAGCTTCAATGTTTTCTTGGAATATGAGGCCGAATCAGCCTCGCACTACATACACGTTAGTCTCCTCCGAAGAAGCATGCAGCTTGGCAATCCGTTTTGCCGGGGATCCTGACACTGACACAGCAGGATTTGACATAAGTCGCAGCAGGCTCTTGGACCTTTTGATTATCCCTGTTCTGCTGGAATAGTATAAGTAAGGCCACAGTTTCCTCCTGATACATTCAACAGACACGTCGATTTTCAACCCTCTTCATAACCTCACCCTCACCACCACAACTACCATCACTCAAACAATGGACTCCTTCGAGATCATCATTCAGCAACAACCAGTCGGCATTGTCCCTGGTGAAGAGGTTGACCGAGCAGTCGCCGATGATACCACCCAAGGCAGCAACACCAGCAGCTGGTGTGTTGTCGCTTAGATAACTCAGTGGATCATTCGTTCCAACCACACAGATTGTAAGTTAATCGATATCGCTTCTTCCTCGATTAGTTGTTAACTGATTTCTCTGCATCCAGGTAGTGACCTTTCTGCCTAGTCCTATGACCAAACCCACCAAATTCTGACGGCTTCGATGACGCCGATTTCATTCATGTGTCTCGCATTGTCAATTCTGTGATATTCATTGGACGGCTCAGACAAAGTTATTACTTATCGCATAGCCGTATTAGATACTATGTAGCACTATTCATCTCCCGTATGCTTTTCTATGTACTTTTGGACAATTATATGCCCCAAATTATGCCGCTAAATTCAGTGATGTGACTCCAACAAATCAGTATCTCAACGAAATCAGTCAGTTCTTCGCTAAGAAAAAGCTTTGACATCTACGCCGTATGTATAGATACAAAAAAAAACATCAACGAATTTTATTTATCAGAGTGTGTCTTGATTTTATGAGACTCCAATCGCACATTCTACTAAGGTGGCCTGTCCAACAAGTCACGGTGTCAAGTAGACACGTGGCAACATATTGTTCGGTAGATTCCGAGTGGCAGAGCCTCAGGCAGAATGGATGCTCTAACTTAGACTCCAACACTGCTCTGAATGTTACTATTTTATCTTGCGCACTGCACCTACTGCCATTATTCAACTTGCCCATTGTGCCCGAGATAAGCATGAAGATGTTTGACCGACCTCCCCGAATCCTGCTGGATTTCATGCACCCGGCAAAGTCACCCCGTCCTTGTCCTAGGCGAGAATAGATGAACATCATTCAAGACAAGTACGTGCATGATTATTGCAGGTGACATACAGTGTTAGCTACCAAACACATCCACATATTCCTGCTTTTACACTGCGAGCCTGACGACAATGTTGTACTAGGTATTCGATTGCAATGGGCTTATAGCGCATTATTCATCATACAGATACGTAAGTACTTCCATAGATCGTCTGTCCGAAGATTCACTATGCTTTTACATTAAAGAGAACCACTCGGCCATCGCGGATGAACCGCCTCCCCCGGCCAACCAAGCTAACCAATGGGCGCTTCCGCGAGGCAGTGTTCTCAAAGTAGAATCGTTACTGCGACCTGGATAGATACGTTTAGTACGACAAGTACTCTATACAGAAGTTCACAGTACTGCCATAGTATGACATATGTCAGTCCATAATTCGCCGGCATGGGTAGTGAACCTTGGAACGATACCGTGAATTAGTCTCCGTGGCTGACCTCTATAGTCGTACCTTACCGTGAATGATCGTTCATGGCACAATTGCAAGCCAAAAACAGCAGCAGGATCTGATATAAAACCTACTTGGACTTTGCTCGAGTAGATCACCAACACAACTTACTCTCCAAGTTAAAGCAAGAAACACACTCAGTGCTTCACATTCGATCACCTCCCCACTCCGTGCACTCTACTACTACCACTACTACTACATACGACATGGACTCTTTCGAGATTACCATTCAAAAACAACCCGTTGGTATCGTGCCAGGAGAGGTAGATCAAGCCGTCAGCGATGGCACTCAGAGTAGCAATAGCAGCTCCTGGTGTGTTATTGTTTAAGCTGCAATCTAATCAGAGGTATATATGCCCCCCGACAATCGTCATGCAAGTTATTCGATTTACTCACGTTGTATTCTTAGGCGAATGTAGCCACTGCCGCCACCTGTTATCTCTCTTCATAAGAGACATTGATCTCAATTCTTTCTTGGATGGACTCTATTACGAGGCTTTCTGCCTATTATGTGACAACATCTTTACACTTTTGGTGCTCTCTCCTCTTTTTTTCGGGCTTTTCTTTGTCTTTTTTCTACTTATCAATCACCTTCTAGTTTATCGAAATATTATGTACAGTACTTTGCCTCTGTATGGCACTGACGAACATTATTTACTTGTACAACTATCATGTGTTGTTGCATACCCTAATCCGTTTCTTCCCTTATTGATTTTGAT